GCCTCGTTTGAGCCACGGGAGTGCTACACTTCCCAGATGTGCCGGTGAGATCGCGCCCGGAAAACCCGCATGTCTTCCGTCTGACTCGCATGGCTAATGTTCCGTGTGACCGCAGCCTTAGTTTGTAATATGTGGAAGAAAATTGACTCACTGTGATAGCTAAAGAAAATAAAAAATTGCTTTGTCTAGACCAGGCTGTGGTCCATTTTGTCCAAAACTCTATATCCAACCTCTGCAGGTCAAATGCCTCTGGAAGCTCACAAACAGGGTATGAGTATGTGATATGCATATGAATATGGAGGTTTCATTTAGTCTAGAATGGATTGACAATATTACTATTAATGCCTTGGTATTAAGAAATGATCAATGATTTATAAATTGCTATGAAGTACTGCAATTAATGCAAGAATGATATTTTCAGCTTCTGCTGCATTGTAGTCCTGAGAATCATTTCCCTCTTTCAAATGCTTCCCTTTGTTTGTATTATTTTCTGGGGGGCACTGGCATAAAAATTATGGGGTGGGAAATTTTCCACTGAAAATTTCCACAGTCATGGCGTTCTGTGGAAAACGTTCCATTTCCACAAATAAATGTGTGTCACCAATTATTCAGCATCACCATAAAGGGATGTCGTAACTAGTCAAAACGAGCAGCTGAGTGTTGAAATCTGTTTCCGTAGATTAGTGTCCAAGTGTGGCACATCAGCCACAGCTCTTTGGAATAGTTCGTGCTAAATTTAATCCCGTTGCAGTTTTCAGCACCTTAATTCTTTCCCCTGAAAATTCCGACAGTGTGAGAAAATGTAGCGACTGAGTTGTCACATTTTAAAAATATGTACAAGTATTTTTTTTTTAAAAAAATCATTTCCAAGTAAAGCTTTGAATTTACATCACATTAAGTGCCCTTCAGTGGATTCCTCTAATCTCATACCACTTCTTGACTACTTTTGGTTATTGGAAAAACAGTTGAGATATTTATGCCACAACTACAATTAACTCAGACCAAATGTAGGCAAACATGCCAAACTAGATCACAATTGATCTCAGGCAGGGGTGGCCAAACCTGCTTAACGTAACAGCCACACAGAATTAGCATCAAGTGTTTGAGAGCCGCAAAACATGAACAAATATTACACATACGTTTTTATTGGGAAATATGCAAATTTGCTTTTTATTAACATTAAATTATACTGTGTGGAAGAGCTGCATGTAGCTCCCAAACTGCACTTTGGCCACACCCCTGATCTAAGGCATGGACAGATATTATGGACTTTTTTTGGCTTTGTAATTTTTTCCTCAGAAAATCCACATTGGCTGAAGTCACACGGAACATTAGCCACGCTACAGAGACGGAAGATAGGCGAATTTTCCGGGCGCGATCTCACCGGCACATCTGGGAAGCGTAGCGCTCCCGTGGGGCACCCAAGGCTTCCTGCCGAATACGCGCGGCAAAAACCTAGTACCTTGGAGGTACTAGTTTCCGGAACCCGCGGGGCAAGGGCGGGTGTCTGATCGCGTTTCCGGTGGCATCTGGCACCCGCCCATGTCCCCTCGCAAAAAGCTTTCCCCCCCAAGTCTCTATGGATGCGCACAAGCACCCAACGGAGCATGCGCATACTTCAGTGTACAGGGAAAAAACATTTGCCCTGGAGGAAGGCGAAGAGGCGACTGCTTGTCCACCCGTCCCCAGGAGCCGCACAGAAGGCAGCTCAGAGTCGCCCAGAGCGGCGACCCCCCCCCTCCGGGGGACCTGCCTTTCGGTTTCATTGTCAGGACTCAAGCTCCCTCTTCCCCACCCCTTGGCCACGTCCCTTTCTCCCTTCTCCTCCCACCGAGTGCCCTTCTGGGACATGTACTCCGTTTCAGCCGCTTCTTTGCCGCATGGTTGTGTGATCGGCACCTCCCCCCTATACACGGGACCTTTACGGGACCTCCAGGAGACGTCTGTTTGCGCAACCGCGCGTTATTTTGCCCCGGGGCTAACAGCTACGCTTCCCCCCCGCATTTTCCTGCCCGTGTGACCGGAGCCATCATTCAGCAGAGCCAGGTAATTTTCTCCCAGCAGAAGGGGGTGTGATTTCCCCCCCATATCCTTCGCTAACTGTGGTAGAATTGGTGGAAAGCGTCATCCAGCCACAGCCAACGTACGGTGATCCCCATAAGGGCTTTGCAGGCAAGTGACATTCAGAGGTGCTTTGCTATTGCCTGCCTTTTTTGGATTTCCTTGGTGGTCTCCCACCCAGGGCTCTTTTTGTAGCAGGTACTCATTAGCATATTAAGTGACACACCCCTAATGTAGCCAATCCTCTAAGAGCTTACAGTAGCTCCTGTAAGAGCTCTGTAAGCTCTTGGAGGATTGGCTACATTAGGGGGTGTGGCCTAATATGCAAAGGAGTTCCTGCTACAAAAAGAGCCCTGCGGGCCCCACCCAAATACTAACCAGGACCAACCCTGCTTAGCTTCTGAGATCAGGCTAGCCTCGGCTGTGCAGGTCAGGAATGCAGACCTCTAATACAGCCCCGTCCTCGGGTTCCCCTGCCCTCAACACAGCCTTCTGGGTATTTCAGTGGGCTGCAGGGAGGCAGGAAAGTTCCGTTCCTTCTTATTAGCAGAAAATTACCATTGGATACAATTGCATATAATCAGAAGCGAGACACAATCAAGCATCAAAGTGAGACAGCTTGTCTCTGTGCTACAGAGACACATCATAAAATCTTAAACATCTCAGCAGGACCTTCCTGAAATTCCGTGTTGTTACTGGCTGTCACGTTATTAGAGGAAACCAGACCAGAACAAGCCACTGATAAAATACAGAACTGTCATATTCAGAATCCTAAATCTTTGATATATAAGTAGTCATGCAACCTCTCCAACAAAAGCCATGTGAAAATTACTTCTGATTGCTGAACTAATCCGCAAATTCAGCTTCATTAACACATGTCCAAGACATAGGAGTGATATCCATTAGTAACAGGAGTGGGGAACATTTTATTTATCTGTTGACTGTGCAGTAATGTAAGCAGCAACATTTGTGTCAAGAAGCAGAGGAAAAGAGAGAGAGAGAGATCAAGGAAGCTGCTATTTATATTATAATAGTTTGTGCTTTGATAGTGCAAATTGTCCCAATAATGGCCTTCTCAGTTCAGCAGTGAGATCAAGGCAACTGCTATTTAAACTGTTATAAATAGACCCAGGGCAGAACCAGAGGTGCCATCCAAGCTGAAGGTACAAGACATTACTTAGAACTACATGGTCCATCTCCAAACTGTTGTTATTCAAAAGATGCTTTGGGGGGGGGGATGAACTAAGAGCTTCCCCAGATAACATTTGTTTTCTTCCAGTCTCTACAAAGTCTACAATCTAGCCCACTTCAAGCTTGCAAGGTCTGGTGGGAAAGCAATGTTGTTTGAACGTTCTCCTAAGGGGTAAAATGCCTTGTAAACAGAAAGCTATCCTATCAGGGGGGAAAATGCTCCCTCTTGCCTTTTTGCCAGCAGTATAGGTTTCTATGTTCGGAGAATATATATATATTTTTAATGCAGTGGCATTCAACCATGTAACCCCAGCCTAAATTTGTGAAGCTCGCCTTACTATTTGATTCCATGGATGGTATAAATGGGGCTTCAGCAAGTGGACTACAGTTTTATTCAATGCAATGATCATTCAAAATAATCTTACCACCATGCAGGAAGGTTGCATTGAAAGAAAGGAACCAAGATCCATTGAATACAAGGAGCTTGACAATGGTCATCCCGGTCTGAAACATTCTCAAGCTTTTACCATGAGGAACTCAGTGAACATGTCGGTAAAGCTACATGCAGTAAGGGTTTCTAAATTTATAGGCTGGACAGACACAACTTGCCTACGGTGAGGCCTTTTTTTGACAGTCTGTGGCAGGACTGGGTGTCTCTTGGGCAACTTGTAGCTCTACTAAATTCTGTGAAGGCAGGAACATACACACAAGATCCAATTTTCCTTCTTTAACACTTGATAGAGATCACCCCCTTCTACCAGTTCCTTGATTTAGGATCCTCCTCAATCCTTGACTCTGCTTAACTGAACTAACCGCCACTCTCGACTGTAGAATTCCATTTCAATCCACTGTCAACCAAGGTTCTCAGACTGGTACAACACATTAACCATTCACTGTCTGTCACAACCACATTCTGAAACACACTGAGATTAATCTAGTGGTACAGCTCTTCTATTCTACCATCTAAGAGTTGGTTCGTGCAACCATGTACACTACAGCCTCAATTATTTAGCAACTAAACAAAAACTCCCATTGGAAGGCACGATGCTTGAAACAATATCAAAGCTTTACCTCTGGTGCTTACTGTGACCAATTCAAACATGCCCATCATCACCCAATATCTTCACCCACTGAGTGACAACCACACGTGCATGAACTAGCAGTAAGATTCCACCCAAGAAGGGAAAAAGGAAATTCAATGAACCCCCTCCTCAGTGCAGGATCCCTGACAAGTGTTTGTCCAGCCACAGCTTAAAGACTTCCCGTAAGGAGGAGCTCACCACCTCCCTAGGTAGCTGATTCCACTGCTACACAACTCTTTCTCTAAAAACTTTTTTCCTAATATCCAGCCGGTACCTTCCCGCCCTTAATTTAAACCCACTACTGCAAGTCCTCTCCTCTGCTTCCAACAGGAACAGCTCTCTGCCCTCCTCTAAGTGACAGCCCTTCAAATCCTTAAAGAGAGCCATCCTGTCCCCCTTCAGCCTCCTCTTCTCCAGACTGAACATTCCCAGGTCCCTCAGCCTTTCCTCACAGGGCTTGGTCTCCAGAAATTATGATATGCTAGCTAACAGGAGAATCATGATTTTAAAGCAAATTTCATCTCAGAGGAAAAAAAAATCATTGTTACTTTAAAATCAATCTCTTAAGAGGCCATGGTAACTATATACTTCATAATGTCAGGCTGATGATAAAAAAGAAACCTCACAAAACACAGACACAGATATATCTAACATTTCGCTTCTCACCTGCAGTTCCAGAGAGTTCCACACTTAAAGTTTGTTCAATAGTCTTGTTCTCAAATGGGGAACCCTTGGGATCACTGGAAGACAGGGCACATTTATAAAAACAAGCTGAAATGGAGTTGCTGTAGCCAAAATGTATTTAAAAACCCCTCCCTGTTCAAAATATTTACAGTTCTTGATACTTACTTTGGTGACTCGGGCGTCAAAGGAAGCGATAAACTCATTTGTTTGGCTAAAGAAAGGAAGGGGAAGGGGGAAGAAAAAAAGAGGGGAAAAGGGTGAAAAGTTGTGAGAGAGTTATTGAAGATGTATTGGTCTCAAAAGTGCTGCCAGCCATTTCATCGGTCAGTTTTGCTTCCCCCTGCTTTGAAGTAGGGGGAAGCGAAACCGACCAGTGAAATGGCTTGCAGCCATTTCATATACAAATGTATTCAAGGGGGACCAGCAATTCAAAGCAGTACAATAATAATGATGAAAAATTGCTGTGAGTTCACAAATCACAATGAATAGACAATAATAACTAGTACAGAATTGACGCTTGATGATGTTTATAATTTCTATGTTTTCAGAACACAGGACGTCAAATACGGAAGGTGAGCGATACGAACATCTCGAGTGGTTGTTCGTTTCGAGACAACTCTTTTTCAACCAAATTCCTACCAGAAAACAGATGGAATATAATAAGCTTAAATACATACATCACGGCTATGACCAAATATATAAATATTCTTGTTGTTACATACAGTTCTCTGGTTGTCTTATTGTGTTTAGCTGTGATATCAATCTATGTGCTTTACGGATGTTGGTAAGTTTTTTTCATCTCTTATAATGGAAGTATAAGCAACAGTGCTTACATTAATGCAATTGGATCTTATTCTTGAACAAATGCTTTGTATATTACAGGATAAGATTGATATCACAGCTAAACACAATAAGACAACCAGAGAACTGTATGTAACAACAAGAATATTTATATATTTGGTCATAGCCGTGATGTATGTATTTAAGCTTATTATATTCCATCTGTTTTCTGATAGGAATTTGGTTGAAAAAGAGTTGTCTCGAAACGAACAACCACTCGAGATGTTCGTATCGCTCACCTTCCGTATTTGACGTCCTGTGTTCTGAAAACATAGAAATTATAAACATCATCAAGCGTCAATTCTGTACTAGTTATTATTGTCTATTCATTGTGATTTGTGAACTCACAGCAATTTTTCATCATTATTATTGCAGCCATTTCAACCTACAGCAGGGCAGGTCTGCCCATCAGTTGTTAGGTTTAAATGGCCGGCAGCCATTTCATTGGTCCATTTCACTTCCCCAAACTTAGAGGCGGGGGGAAGCAAAACCTACTGGTGAAATGGCTTGCGGCCCTTTCAGCCTAACAGTTCAGCTGCAGGCCCTGCCCAGCTGTTAGGTTTAAATGGCCCTGAACAGGGAAGGCGCTTTCCTGAAACATTGGTTTGGGGGGCCCAAACCGGCCCAAATTTGTGCTGACTTTTGGCTCGTGAGACAGTTTGTGCCCATCCCTAATCCCCAGGTCCCACTTGGGGGCTGGTATCTCTAAAGTCTCGGCACATGGAGGCCCCAGCAGCACACACTAAATAGCAGTAGACTGGGGGGGGGGGGACATAAGAGAAGGCGATGCAAAATTATTTACTGAATTCAACAGCAGCCATGCATCCACCTTCATGTCTCCATCTGACACTCACACAGATTAAGAAATGGAAACTCTTATGAAGGGTCACTTCAGGTCGATTGATAGATTTACGCCAACCGCTCAGCATCTGCGGCACAGACTTAAAGAACTAAGGACGTTACCCCCCTCCCCACAGATGCATGGAACATACTGTGAAAATGCACTTCTCTCACATGTTTAATTTAGACTACTGTTCACGTTTCGTCCGGCCATGACAGCGGCAGTATAACTACAAAGCAACAGAACTCTATGAATATTCAGCTGATTTTACTTGTACAATGTACAGTTTTATATACAGCACTGGCTGATTCTGGGAGGCCAAGACCCAACCAAATATGATCCGAGTGCTTGCAAATTATTCTGTAAATCAGGAGAGCGAGCGAGAGAGGGGGAGCCGCAGATGGCTTAAATTTGGGTTTAACTCCTCCGTGCGAAAATCCTGACATGAATGAACAACATCGTTTTCCATTGTAGATGTGCAAACTTTCTGTAGTGCTCTGTTTGTTAAAAATCAATCATGTTGCCAATCTTGCTCTTGTTGTTTCCAAACTACTGAGCATTCCACACTTGCCAAGGAAAGCAGTGACCCTGAGATTGGCTGTGAAGTTTCAGGGCTTTCAGACGTCTCGGAATCTCCAGGGGGAAGGAGTTAAACCGCAGGCTGAGAGGCCAGAGCCAAGGGAGCAACTACTTTCTGCTTGGCTTTAGGGGATTTGCTGCAAGTTTCACTCTTATCTCCACCATGTGCCTCCTCTGAGATCACAGGCCCAGCCAGGCTATCCCCCTAACCAGCTAGGTGTGGTCTGCAGCTCCCCACTCAACGTACACACTAGGGATGGCTCTGGGCAGGGATTGGGGGAGCCACGATGTGGGCAGCAGCATCACATCACTTCCAGGGGAAAAAAATAGAAGTGACATAGCTCTAGGAACTGCTGGAAATTCTGTGGTTTTATCATAGAGCTTCTGGAGATTCCTAGAGTTACCCTATGTCATTTTTTTCTTTTTTTTACTGGAAGTGATGTCACAGCTGGTGTCACTTCAAAAAAAAATCTCCCATGACTGCTCAGAGCCACAGTGGACAACAGGAGCAGGGGACAGGGCAGTGGCGACACCAGGCACCACACTTTAGCCCCCAGACTCTATCCCCTGAGTCTAAGGGGATGAGCTAAAGAGCAGATTCTCCGATCCTCTGAAGGAAACTCTGTAAAATTATGAGCCAGGATCCCCAGACTTATTTGGGGCCCTGAAACATTTAACTTGTTTTCTTGGAACAGATCTCCTTCACGCATACCATACTAGATCTCTTGAGAGCTCCATCATTTCACCAGTGGTTTGCCACGTGGCATTAGGAAAGATCTTCTGATCAAGAATGGCTTCGTGGTCATGAGGAATGTCCGGTGGTATCAACACAGTTCAAATCTCATTTTGCAAGGCAGGAAGAGGGTTATAGGATTCTCCCTCCATAACAATGGGTTTTAAACAATGCATCCACCATGAGATGAATTGACTCAATAAAGGAAGCCGTGGCCTTCATGTTGCAGGAACTGAGTAACGCTGTTAATGATGAGACGTTTTGGAGGTAATCAACTCACAGGGTCTCCGCAAGTCAGAAATGACTTGATGGCACATAACACACAAACATTCTTCCCTCAAAGAAGCCTTTCCACTATCACCTCTGAAGGATCCCTGCTCAGGCATCAAAGAACCCCTGAGCACAGCTGAGCATTCTGGCATATAAAGGAATGAGATACCAGTGGAGGCCACCAAGAAGGAATTCTATGCAGCCTCTATTGCATCCTCTAGCTCTCGCCCAGCCCACTTATTTAGAACAATTAGGTAACTGACTTCCCTACCACAAGGGAAACAAAATGATAAGGAATTGGCTATCGGCTGTAAGGCATCTTACACCTATTTTGAGGATAAAGTTTTGAACCTCTGTCAGGACCTCCATGCCATGGTTAAAACAGTAAGTGAACTGGAAGCCCCTTGGTTGTCTTCTGGATCAGTGTTGGACCGATTCAGCTGTGTCTCCCAGGAAGAGATTGACCCTAGCAGCTGTGAAGCCCACCACTTGCCTCCTTGATCTATGTCCATCTTGGCTTGTGAAAGCCTGTGGAGATGAAATTAGGGTCCCCCTGGGAGATATTATCAACCTGTCCATATAGTTAGGGGCATTGGGTGTCTCAAGGAGGCAGGGGTGTGACTACTACTAACCCCCCCTTGACCCTATGGTCCTAGCCAAGTACTGCCCAGTATTGAACTTGCTATAATGGGAAAGGTAGTAGAGAGAACGGTAGCTGAGCAGCTACAGGGGTTCTTGGATGCCACCTCTATTCTAGACCCATTTCATTCCAGCTTCCGCCCGGGCCACAGGATGGAGACTGCACTGGTCGCCCTCACGGATGACCTCCAGAGGTATCTGGATCAAGGCGGGTTGATGTTGCTGTTGCTACTTGACCTAACAGCAGCATTTGACACGGTCAGTTATGATCTTTTGGGGATTACAGTGGCTTTCCTCCTTCCTCTATGGTCGGGGACAGAGGGTGGAGCTTGGGGAGAGGGTTTCACCACATTACCCTATGGTATGTGGCATCCCGCAAGGGGTGATCCTTTCCCGATGTTATTCAACATCTATATGCACCCCCTCACCCAGTTAATTCAGGGGTTTGGGCTGGGTTGTCACCAGTACACTGATGACACCCAGCTACATCTGCTGATGGATGACTGGCTGGACTCCGCCCTGGATATCGTGGCTAGGGCATCGGAGGTTGCGGCTGAATGGTTACAACAGAGCTGGCTGAAACTCAATCCGGCTAAGACAGCGGTCCTGTTCCTAAGTCGTGGGGGGGACGGGTTTGGGAATCTGACTACCAACCCTTGGTGGGGTGCCACTGATGCCAGTGCCAGTGGTGAGGAGCTTGGGAGTGACTCTAGATGCCCTCCCCTTCCATGGAGGCCCAGGTTGCTAATGTTGCCAGATCCGTCTTATATCATCTTTGGCTGGCCAGGCAACTGGTTCCCTACCTTTCCTCTCGTGACTTCGCAACAGTGATCCATGCAGTGGTCACATCCAGGCTTGATTACTGCAACTCGCTCTATGCGGGCCTACCCTTAAACTTGACTCAGAGGCTCCAGCTGGTACAAAATGCGGCAGCCCGCCTGCTGGCTGGGACGTCTGTGCAGGCGAACATTCAACTGGTGCTGCACCAGCTGCATTGGTTGCCAGTTGAGTACTTTGTGAGGTTTAAGGTTACTGCATTAACCTTTATGGCTCTATGCGGCCAGGGACCAGCATACCTGCAGGACCGTCTCTCCCCATATGTGGCCTGAAGAGCCTTGCGCTCTTCAGACCAACACCGTCTAGCAGCCCCTAGCCCTCAGTCATCTGCCTTGCTTCGACCAGGGCCAGGGCCTTCTCAGCCCCGTCCCCAGCTTGGTGGAACATGCTCCCAACTGAGATCAGGATTTATTGCAATTGCAGGATTTACTGCAATCCCGCAGGGCCTGCAAAACAGAGCTGTTCTGCCAGA